TTATTGAGCTTGAAGATACAAAATGAGCATAAAATATTAATCACAATATACACAAGTATTATGAAAATAAAATGTGGCTACAAAAATACTAACTTGAACTCTCTCCTTCCTGATCATAGCAGATTCTCTATTAGATGGTCCACTAGCTTGTGCACTATCCTGTACACCGCCGGCCTTCTTTGGTCTTCCTCTTTTTGCTTACATGTAAAAAACACAAAAAAACACCAACATTAACGATCATTATAGCCCCAAAAAAGTTATTATTAAAAGTTACAAAATTGTCAAATAAATTCTTTGGGCCTTGGATTTGTAAGATTCTTGCATGTTTTCTTGTTATGCCCATACTAAAGGCACTTTGAACATCGCATTTGGACTCCAACTTTCATCAATGTCTTATCATCATCATCATTGTCCTTGATTCTATTTTTCTTCTCTCTCCCCCTTTTTCTTTCTATAAGGTGGGCGTTTGCTTGGCTCACCACTGAATCTGGACCACATTTGTTGTCCAATCATAGCTGGGAGGGGAAATTGATAACATCTCTCATAAGCATCTTTCTTGAAGCATACATCAATGTAATCATTGATATCTAACTTCATGAAACTAATGCAACATATGACATGTTTACATGGTGTTCCAAATATATCATATTCCCTATAAGCACATGTCTTCCCAGCCAATTTAACCATAAATCTTTTGTCAAATACTTGAACCTCAAAGTTATTCCCTATTGCCACTCTATCAATACAACACAATACCTGGACTCCAGCTTAGTCTTATTTAACTTCATTCTAACCTTGGGCAAATTGGATATGTTCAAGCCACCATCAACTGACTTCTCTCTGTCATTCTCTCCATCAACATAGTTCTTATTCTTTCAAGGATCTCGAGTATAGGTTTTGCTCTTGCTATGCAAATGTATCAGTTGAAGGTGTCACTTAAGTTATTATCAACCTCTTCACATTTGGTATCTGTCTTGATGAAAGCCCTACAAAAGTGCTCAAGGCCTTGTCTCATAAAGTCTTCAACACCTTTAGGAATTCCTCCTTCAAATCCATCATTGGTAGGTCAAATTCAGCTTCAAATGTACCCCTCACAATCCTCCAGAAAAGATTCTTAAGAGCGTCTCCTTTGTGCAAATTTTTCCAATTAGCATATACATGTCTTGCACAATTAGTTGCTCTGCTTGTGGAGATAGGTATGAAATTGCATTCATTAGTCCCTGCAACCAAAATATCAACCGACAAAAAACAAAAAAATCACATTGCACTATTAAAGGGTAATAGCCAATAAAGACAAAAGTTGATATATCACCTTTTGCTAATCACGAATAAAAGTCCAACCCTCGCCCGTGTCCACGCTCAAATCAATGAATAACAGGGTGAGAAACCAATTCCAAGATGCCTTGGACTCAACTTCTGCAATTGCCCAAGCTATTGGAAACATTTGATTGTTTCCATCTTGTCCTACATATTACAACAACATACCATTAAATCTAGTCTTAAGAAAGCACCGATCTAAGCCTATGACACGCCTACATCCTGCTAAAAACCCTTTTTTCAACTCATCAAAATTCTTACATGCAAAAAAAAAAAACTCATCAAAATCAATATAAAATCTCTCAAATACTTTGGTTACTAGGTTGACTTCTATGTCAAATGTTTCATCCTTGCTAACTCTCTTCAACTCCGCCAAATAAGATCTCAGCATATTATATATAGCCCCTTATATCACTAAGAGCTTTCCATATAGCTCCATTACATTTTTTCTTGCTAAGTGTTAAAGCAAACCTTTCTCTTGCATCTACCTGCATTTTTGCAGCAGAGTAAGTAGGTTTGGCTCTAATCTTGGGCACATACTCTTGAGCAAGCCATGTAACAGTGGCTTATCTATTTTTTAGACTTATATTGCAATTATGGAAATGTCCAACTTTCTTTATGAGAAAAGTTTATCATTTTGAATTCAACTGCTATACAACCTTCCACCCCATCCTTTTACGCACTTCGCTTCCATTCTCTTATATTCACTCTTTGGCCAAAAATGTCAAATCCATTAATTACAGCATACCTTTCACAACATTCTTGAACCGTTCATGAGATTCAAATCTCATGCCTAAACTAAACACTTCCTCATTATGGTCACACGTAGAATCATACCTATTAACCATTAGGCCGATATGCCATTGATTTCTTTGAAATCATCAATATCGGGTCCACTTAGAGAATCTACCTCTTCATTAGCTGCCTCATCTTCGTAAAAAAAACTATCGGTGGAACCTACAACCGAATCTTACCCATCATCTGCCTCATCCTCTATTCTTGCTTTTTCGAATTCTCTCATCATCTTCCCTTGTCACCGACTTTTCATCATCTAATATATTTGGTTCTTTATCACTCTCGTCCAATGAGCTATCATCATTGTTACTTTCATTATGTTAAAAACCATACGAAGTCATAAACTAATAGCTAAAAACAATATTCGAACATAAAGAGTCAACAATTGAATGAACTCACCATTGCTTCCTATTCAACCTAGTAATACTCCAATGTCAACGAACAAAACTTGCTAGCAAAATGACAGTCAACTCGCAAGTTAAATGTCGAACACATCACATCGATTGAAGCGAACTGTAAACAACGCAATTCATATCCTAGGAACAATTGACTACCACGATAATCAACCAATATTCTTGTACAATTAAATTATGTTCAAGAACCTGAGGACTTTGAGCACATCTTTTGCTATTTCCATTGCTAGAGGTGACGATGACGACCACGAGGAAACAATGAAAGGTGCTAACTGATAGGCAGCACAAGAAACAATAGCAACAAGCCCCAAACATGTAGCTTCTAACTAAAATCACACACGTAACAAGAATAGCAAAAACTGAAAAACACAAGACAAATGCACATATACTTCATTAGAAATGACGAAAATTAAATTTAGGAAAAAAAAAGAACAAAAGAACAAATACCTGGTTGTCACGAGGGTTGTTTGCAGTTTCCGCCACCCTCATTTACAAGCGAGTGACCAAGCTCGAGCCTATATAGAAAGAGATTGATCGCTTTGAAGTCCACCACTCAGTCGATTCACGGAGAAATTCCTCATGTCTGTGATTAATTCCTTCGAGTGAAACGAATTGAAAGGCTAACGCATGGAGAAGGGCTGACGCGAGGAGGACTAAGAAGCTGGTTGGCTCTGGCTTTGCATCGTCGAGAGCGAATCTCTCTTTGAGCCGGAATTGAAGAAGCAAAAAGCAAGCCCTAATTCCCTCAATCCTTAGAGCAAGGAACGACAATGTTTTGTGGAGATTTTCCACATCCAAAGTCCTTTAGGAAAGTTGAACTAAATGCACTCGAAATTTTTGGAGTTCTCGAGGAGACCACGAGGTATTGGTGCATAAAGTGAAGACTGATAAATTGAAGAGTGAGCACTTAATAGTAGGGATGTGCAAAACGGACCATCCGGATCGGGAACCGCCCGGACCGGCCGGTTTGGTCCGGTTTCCAGAAGTGTCGGTCCAGTTCTCGGTTCCTAAAAGTGGAACTGGTGTCCGAACGGTGCGGTTTCGGGTTCCAAGGGGGAACCAGACCGGACCGATTACATATACTTTTTTTTTAGTTTTTATTTCTTCAAAAAAGTTAGTAAAATGTAAACTAAACCCATATATAATACTTTTCCCTTATCTTCGCACCATAATGACTCTTCATTCATCGTTTCTTCTGTCAATATATTGAAATTTATCACTCTCTCTCATTGTAGTGGGAAAAAAATATAAAAGTGATCGGTTTTATTGGACCGGACCGGATCGGTCCAGTCCCCAATTCTTAAAATTGGGAACCGGTCCGGCTCCCGGTTCCACCTTGGAACCGGACTGGATCAGAAATTGATCACTCCTACTTGATAGTGAGATTGGAGGAGAAATGTGAGGCGGGTTTTAGTGAAATTGAGAGGAGCGAAGAAGGGTCCGAGATGGTGGTCTTGAGGTGATTTATGAATTAAAGATTGGAGCGACACATGGTTATTTGGGTTTCCAATCTTTGCCTTTTCAGCAACTAATCTACAAGGGCTCAAGGTGAGAGACAGGGTTTATGGCGGAAACAATTTGATAGGTCAAATGAATTTGTTTTTGAACATACCGAAGAGAGAAACTTAAAACATTGGCAATGCCTCCGATGGTGTCTCTGTTGCGCCTGCCGACAGAGATGTGCTCCCCGGCTTCTTATCGCCTCGATTGAGGACGAAGGAGGCACGACATACGAGGAGACCGACATCCGGTCGGCTTAGGTTTTGTTTTGCCTGTTTACATTAGCATTGTTTTTGCTTATTCAATTTACTTTTCAATATAGGGTTTTTTCAAATTGGGTTAAAGCAAAAATTTATGACAAAAGTATCCTCGCTTTAGCCGCCAAAATAAGCACGTAAGTGGCACATGCAAGTTGATTGACGGAGATTTGACTGGCCACTGAGCTCGAGAACTCTTTTTTTTTTTTTTTGTCATACTCTAATTCTCAACTCACTTTTAAATTTTTGTCTTGCCTCTTTACAGAGCGTGAAAATCGAAACCCACATCTAGCTCCCCTGAGAACGTGGAGAATCGAACTCCCCACCTCTCATTTCCCACTAGGGGTATGTAAAACGGATCGCCCAAACCAGGAAACGCCTGAACCGGATCGGCTAATTTGGTCCGATTCCTAAAAGTGTAACCAGTGTCTGGGCAGTCCGGTTCCCTGTTCCAAAAGAAATCGGATCGGATCGACTATATATACTATTTTTAAATTTTTTATTTCTTCAAAAAAAAATTTTGTAAAATGTGAACTAAACCTTAAGTAAAGCACGTTTGTTTATTCGTCTTTTCAATTTGAGCATCATTTACTAAAAACTCTCTTTCGAGACACAATAATCACATTTCGAGTTTCTATTTGGAAGTTTTATCAAACGAAATAAAAAAAAGACCAAAATGGCACGAAATGATTCTCCTCCGGTCAAACGAACGCGCTCGCTCGTCTCTCTCTCGCACACCGTCTTCGAGATCCCCCCCGGAATCCTCTGCAACAGCAGATGCCCTAGCCCCACACAACACTCCATCCCCACTCCACAACAATGGCGACCGACGATCCTCCGTCGTGCAACTGGCTGGAGCTCCCCAGGGAGATCGCGACGACGATTTTCCTGAAGCTCGGCGCCGAGGAGATCCTCACGACCGTGCAGAAGGTGTGCACATCCTGGCGCTCCATCTGCAAGGACCCCGCCATGTGGCGATCCATCGACATGCGCACCGCGGGGGACCCCACGGACATGGACCACGACCTCGAGGCCATGTGCCGCCACGCCGTCGACCGCAGCCACGGCGGCTGCGTCGACATCAACGTCGAGTACTTCGGCACCAACGAGCTCCTCTGGTACACCACCGACCGGTAATTCGCCGATTGACCCTTGAATTCGCGCAGTTCTTGTATTGCAACGCGTGGTCTGGTTCTTACGCATACGTTGTCGTTGGAGGGAATTGAAATGATGGTTAATCGCTCAGGATGAGCTTGTTTCGGTATTGCCCCGTCGGTTGTTGTAGACCTACATTTGCGGTGGTCCCAAGAGTGTATACCATTGATGTCTTTGGGTTGAAGTTGTATAGGAATCGTATAATTGTTTAGGAATCATATTGAGCACGAGTTTACTTCTCTTTGGGAAGCGAAGGTATAGATATGAGGCTTCAAGGGGTCCTCAGGAAGTGAACATTCTGCACACTTGAAAGTCCCTTTTTTCCCTCTTGGTCAGTGTCCTCAAGAATTGAAAAAAAAAAAAGAGAAGACGAACATGCCGGATGTTGAGAACAAATTGTATTTGGAAAACTCTCTTTCTTGTACTTAGAGGTTTGCCCTGTTGCATGACTGGATTTAGTGGATCTTAAACATTAGATTGATTTGGTACTTCTGAGTTATGTTAGCTGTCTCATTATATACAAGTGCGATGTCGGCTCAATCAGCTACATTTTCCGGAAACTAACTGATGAAAAAATCGTGCATGGAAATTGAGTTCTGATCCTGCAATAGCTCCCAAGAACGAGGGTTGAGAGTTTTACGTGAAAGGACACCACCTTTGTTACTTTCTTTCTCCTGGGGAGTTCTCAAATGGCTTCTTTACGCTGTCTCTACATCCCGTATGGTCAGCCTCGGTATCTTTCAATTTTTGCTGTTATTTGAACCTTAGGATGAGGCAAAAGTTCAACCCAATTGAAACCATGAAGGAACACTGAACTGAGGTCGTAAATATCCCAATACAATGCCATCTGGTGAGTATTGAGCATTACTAAATAAAGTGAGGAACATGAATTGTGACAGAGCTTCCGTAAGTGCTTGATATGGAAAAAGCACTTCTATTTTACTTCACTCTAGGATCTTCTTGTCCCACGTGCTTTTTACCTTTTGATCAGTTTTATGCGACACATTTCCTGTCGTGTTTGCTATTAGTTATGTCAGATATTGTTTAAAGTTTGGTGCGGTAGAAGGTATATAAGTGAACAAAGTAGGTTATAGCCATGCAGCTCCATCACTTTCTCGGCCTTTTAATTCAGGACAAGTGTAGCTTCAACCGATGCTTGCCAAAACACTTGAGTATGCTTCATATTCCAGTGATATCATTCTTAAACTGTTTTTTGTCCTTTATTTTGTTCAGCAAAGAAAATATTCTAGTTTAATTCACTGTGGAGTTTGTCTTCTATTTCCTCGTCCAGACTCTGTGCTCAAGTCTTCATCATTGAGTTTTCATTGAGCTTGCAGAGACAGCTTAGATTCATTTGATGGTATTTATGCGGGTCTTGGATAGGTACATAATTGTCTTGATCTGACTAGTGGATGGCACTGTCAGTGTTTTGATTCCGGAGCATACAACTTGAGTTACTTCATGAGTTACTGCAATTGGCATGGAAGTTTTTCGTTTTGGAGTCCTTTTGGTTCTTAACATGAGTTTCAGAGTCTAATAGCACTAGGCTTGCTTTTGTCGATAGAATTCCTAAGAATAAGGTTTGTATAAGGAGTCTTGTTAACAAGTGCCTCTGGGATATATGTTAATCATACATAATAAGGAAAGGTTTTTATTTCCAATACTCTAATTATACATAACATGAGAAAGACAGTGCATTAAAATCAACAAACTTTATTTATTGTGGTGTTTTTTAACAAAATCTTTTATATGTTAATCCTTAGATCTGTGATCAGATTAGCTCTCTTTATTGACTGAAGTTTCTCTCTTCAAGGGAGTTTTTCTTTCTTTTACCGAGCATTGAGAACAGAGCTTTTGGATTGTGTTGGATTGTTGACTGCTGGAATTTTGCCTATATCATGTTTATTGTGGAACGTCTCTTATGGTTTGAGACTGGAATAGAACATAATTTCCATTGATTTAATTTAGGTTTTGAATTTGATCTTACTTTTCTTGATGCCTTGATTCAGTACCTTTATATTTGTTATCGAAAACTTCTATACATATTTTATGTATTCCATGTCATATTATTATTTCAGATAAAATATGGAAGTCTTGCTTATTAAAAGGCTATACTGATAGGTCAATAGTGGACCAAGTATTGCATCTCTCAATTGCATAGGTCTCTGTTTAGTTTACAATCTTGTAATGCCATGGACATGCAAAAGCAGACTTCCTGAACAAAAGTCATATAGTTGACTGTTTTGAACATTACTTGTAAGAATTCCAATGAGAGGCTGCATCCGTAGAGTATTCTTGTGATCTAGGGTTCTGGGTGATTTTATCATCTTTCCCTATTTATGGACAAGTGCCCGTAGGGCACTTATTAAGCATACTACATAAGGAAAGTTCCATTTTCCAAAACACTAATTACACACTTCACTAGAACACTTGTGCATTAAAACGTGTAGTGCCCATGGGGCACTTTGATAGCCACTGAAAAAGTGCCCAAGGGATACTGATTAAGAAATTGCTTTTGTTGAAATACAATAGCTTTTTGCGCTGATGAAAAAATCTCTCTACAGCCCGTGCTCTAGATCAATAAGCGCTCAGTTCTTTATCTTAGTGGTTAACATTATTATTGCTACCCTGCAACATGTCTGTTTTTCGGTTGAACCATCATTGTTCTCACGCATTTCTTATTCCATTTCAGGTGCAATCATATTAGACGTCTGCGACTTGTATTTTGCATTGACATTTCAGATGAGGGTCTGTCTGAAGCAGCCACAAAACTTCCTTTGCTGGAGGTCCTTGAATTATCTTATTGCTCGTTCTCGAAGGAAGCCCTAGAGACTGTTGGCCAATGTTGTCCTCTTCTGAAGTCCTTCAAATTGAATAGGCAGGGATATAGATATCCGCACATAGAATGTGATGACGAGGCACAAGCTATAGCAAAAAACATGCATGAATTACGCCACCTCCAACTGTTTGCGAATAAGATGACAAATGAAGGTCTGAAGGCGATTCTCGATGGTTGTCCTCATCTTGAGTATCTCGACTTGCGCCAGTGCTTCAATGTTAATCTGGGGGGTAATTTGGGGAAAAGATGCACTGAACAGATCAAAGATTTAAGGCGTCCATGTGACCCCACAGATGACTACGAATTTGATGCTGCAATTCATGATGCCGAGTCCTCTGATGATGATGATGATGATGATGAAGAATCTGAGTTTTCCTTTGATAATCAGTACGTATATGAGTTTGATGACCTCGATTTGTCTGATGATGATAACTACCCTGAATTCTCTGATTGGGACGGCTTCACTATATATGGGGATGGCTATGATTAGGGGTTTGCTGGTTGACGCACTTGCATGGTGAGGAACCCTTGTCTTGCTTTAAGTCGCAGAATAATTTTGCTACATAGCTCTTCGCAGCAGTCTGCTATGATGTACTGTTTTTAATGATTTTGTTCTGCATACGCAGGCGAGGATTCTTTATGGTTGCTAAGACTTCGTACCATGCTTCAAGACAGAGATGGTTGAGTGGCCATCCTGCACGCCTTCTGGTGCAGCTTTTGAACCTAAACTTCGCAAGTGGGAGTCTTTCCTATTTTGTTGATGAAGAAAAGCGCTCACAGATGGTAACTCCCCAAGAAGTGCATGCTTTTGTTCCCTTTGTTCAAGTCTCTGCATTTTCTTCTCCAGAACGTGTTTTGTGACTATGAGCTATCTTTCCTGCATATAGTTCTAGTGCCTAGTCTTATTTTGGTATCTGTGACATTGGTGTGTTAAGTGCAGCTGGGCATAATGATGAACTCTATAGCTGATAATCCGATATTGGGCATCATTGTGCAGTTTTGTATAAAATTCACAATATGTTACTTAAAATGTTAATCAAAGAATAGCTTTAGTCGTTCCCATCTATGAGGATCTTGTAATGTTAAATGTAGCAGCAAGTTGCTTTGCTTGTCGAGCACTTTCATTTTCAACTAGTAGATTGTGTTGCAATGTTGGCACGAAAGAACAAACATTTGACATCTTTGATGTTTAATGTACTGCCTATCATATATTTCTCGCGGCAATTTTGTAATCGTGTTTATTTCCCACAAAACACTGACACACGTCTTTAAAATTGAACAGACAAGCAAAACATCGTACCTTGTTGACATGATAAATGATGTATAGAAGACTCTTGAAAGTAAAGATGATTAGATAATGTATAGACGAAATCATATCAATTTATCATCTCAACGATGTACCTTCTTAAGCCACATTACTACACGAATCTAAGCAATTTGTGTCTGATTGGAATTTGAAAAGTCCTTGTTCATGGCGCCTTTGGAATTGGAGCTAGGCATTTGAATTTTACAGTGATCAATCTTCCTTCTCCATGGCACAAGTCATACAGCCCAAGGTCGGTGAAGATGGAATCAAAGAGGTAAGGAAGAAAATACATATTGGTTTTAGACAGTTCCACCCTAGTATGGACAAAGCAGGAGGTTTGGCTCCCTTTTTGGCAATCAGAAGTCTAATCTACAAGAAGTTGTAGTTAGCCAATGCACTATCATTGTGTCGATTACCATGGAGGCCACAAACTCGGACAGTGTGCTTTCTTTGGTGCATGGATCTTCATATGAAAGTTGCAAAAAATCTATGTGGAAAATCCGGTACAACATCCTTTCGATGTAGTTTCAGAGAAATTCATGCGGAATATTGAAAACTTTAGAGGATCGTATGCGAAGAGAATAAGACTATTTTGAAATTCTTATATCCTAATACTTGTCATGAAAAAAATGCCATGGAATCATTCTCATGCATCTCTTGCCATACACCAGGCATTAAATGAACATAAGCGGAATCAATCGGACTTATGGATTTGTCCCAAGACCCTTAGGACTCTGGAGAATCTTATCTTTGCAAACACGTGGCAACCAGATGTTAGCTTCGCTAAAGATCCTGATCTTGACCGAGATCATAAACCCATCAACAAATGAGGGAATCTTTCAAAGGTTATATGACTGCTTCAGTAAAATTAAAGTCGTAAGCTTTGTCATAAGATTGAGTTTCAATGGATTCTATGGATTAGAATTTATGATGTCAACCATAGCTGGTCATGAAAAATGTCTTTATTACCCATAACCTCGACTATATAAGGCGAGGTAATTGTTTGAATAAAAACAAGAGCCGAGAGAAGAGTAAATTTCCCAAAGCCTACAATGTTTCCTCACATGTTCTTCTAAATCTTCCTCTCCTAGGCCTGATGATTTGTGAATGATAGAAGTGTAATTTTTATTTGATATGATGAATTTTATCAGCAAGTATGCTTTTCACTTGCCACTTTGAATGGATTCTATGGATGAGAAAGTAATTTTGAGACCAGAGAGCCTGAAAAATAGAGACTAATGGTATTCAGAAACTAACGGGCAGTCCCATTTAATGGCCAAAAAATGTTGGAATAGAATACATATCTGGAATATCCATTAGATTTTCTAATAAAGTGTCCAAATACACTCGTAAAAAAATCAAATAAGGAAATATTTTAATTTTCAATACACTAACTGTTTTGGTTATGTACCAAATTAGCATCCACGTTAGCAATTTTTTGCCAAAATTGACCGGATTGACTCAATTGATAAAACGTGAAAAGGCTTATGACTCAATTAGCACAATTATAAGATTTAGGATTGTATTGGCAAAAGTGTAATAATTTTAGAACTTTTTGGATAATTCTCCCGAATCGTATATACACTCATTAAGGATGCAACCAAATAAGATAATCTTTTAATATTTTAAACATTACTTTTCTCAAGTGTGTCACGAACACTTTGAAAATCGAAATATTCATCATAAAAATATGATTAATAAGTTTACCAAAGACACTAAATAGACAAATTATCTATGATTTATTTAAATTTCCATATGCATGCATTATAATAAATACTCCGAAGAAAGTAATATCCGTTAATAAGCATTCTTAATAAGTGCTCCAAAGGCACTCATTAAATCTTTTATGGTGATATGACCAAAACAAACCTTTTACGATGCATTTCCCATTGGCTTGTGAACAAAATGAACCCGTCTTTTGTTTTCGCGCGATCGTATTAGTTATGTATATTTAACAAAACAATAATTCAAATTAAGATATCGACTACACGGAACGAGTTGAAAGCTATGTATTTTTCTTAATTTATTGTTTCGAGACACTCGTTAATAAAGGCGATCTCTTGTTTTTTCTCCTCTGTTTCTTTTTCTTGGTTTCACTTTTTAATTGACGTGTTCACCACACTGAGGAATGGTATTATGCACGTCGCTCTGCTCAATGATAATAGCACGAGTGCAGATTTTTACAGGGTGGTGGGGGGGACCAAACTCTTTAATTATTGCACCATAATTATTAATTTATTACAGCTTGCAATTATTTACCCGGGGTATAGAAAAATAAAAAAAAATATCCAGAAAATAAAAGAAAATAAAAAAAGAATAATTACGCGCGTGTCGCGCCGTATCTGTCAGACAGAGCCGGTGTGTCAAAGAGAGAGGACCCCACCAACCACCTTCTCTTTTTTCAAACTTGATATTTTTCTTTCGCGAAATTGTCGCCGTCTGATGCTGATCTGACGCACACGAAGCATCCCCCCCGCCCTCCCGTTGACTTTGACGCTGGGCCAGCCGCTGGCCAGTAGGATTTCGCCACGACAGCCGTCTGTTGACCTACGGTGGCAGAGGCTTCTGGGGGCCTGCGCGTTAGGTCCACAGCTTTACCTGCAAAATTACAAATGCAGATAAACACTGTGAATTAAAAGCTTTGCGTACATCAGAAGTTCGAGGACCACGAGCTGGTGTTAAATGTGAACAATTCGGTAGTAAATCTTTTTTATTTTTATTTTCTAGTTTTGTTATTATTATGGATTTCGTTAGAAATTTAACGAGGAAATGTCGCCAATTTTTAGTATATCGACTGTCCTCACGATATGCAAGGTTCACATCTTGAAAAATCGAAGACTTTTTCGTGAGACATTTGAAACATGTTACTGTTAGGGTAATGTTAATTGTGAATAATGCGACGGTGGCTTTTTTGTGGTTTTGTTATTATTATGGGGTTTGTAAGAAATTTAATGAGGAGGTTTTCACAATTTTTAATATTTTGACTGTCCTTATGATATATAGAGGCAATATCCCGAGAATAGAATATTTTTTGTTGAGACATTCGAAACATATTATTAGGGTCATGTGTCTCATGACACTTAGTAAACATACGGACTTTAGATTGATTTAACTTCATGGCATTATTTGACATGCCACGAGAACAGTTAATGACTCAATGCATTGAAAACTATGCAATTTCAAAAATTGGTTATTTAACAAGTGCTCCTGAAATCCTAATAAACGAAAATCCTTATCAGTAGACTACTAATAGTGTGTAAAGTTGAGCTTGTTAAGTTGATTAAGATTTACTATAGAGTTACTTCTAGAGGGAGGGTGATCGCTGATTTGAGCTCCAACGAGCGTGATTTCTTGGAAGCCACTCTAGTCAGCCTGAGTTTTTGAAAATCGGATCACTTCGAATGGGTTCAACCAGCTCAATCGTGTTCCCTCCATAATATTTTGATGATCTTTACCCGATTTCGATCTATTTAACTCAATTCGGCTGCGTACCACTTAGGAAGCCAATTCGATGTCCGGTTGTATTTTGGAGACATTGGTTTCAAGGGGCTCTTGTCCTGATATTTGCCTTAGTAGATGAATGAGATCGGAGAGATATCTTGATTATGCTTTACGACTTGGGTTTTGGGGCAAGAGGCCTAGAAGATGAACAGAACAAGTTGGAATGGATGATGGAACATCTTTGCGGAGAGAGTAGTCATTTTGGTTGGACAAATCAAGTCATCAGTCATCAAAGTTGTCTAATCTCAGAGTATAAATGGAACTTAACCCTAAGGATTAGTGTAGTCGATTGGATGCCAGGGAAATTACAGCTCAAAAATTGGAAAACATTTTCTTAGAAATGATCGTTTGTATCATTTACAAAAACAAGTCAACAGAATATATTTTCATCTTAAATCTAAGATTTATATCTAAACATTTTCGTTAATGATAAAAATATTAACAAATTATTTTAAATTATTAATTTTTCGTAAGACAAACGCAACCTCAATCTAACTTAGAATTACTCTTTTTTGTCTGTGTTTTTGGAGCTCGGAATATGGGAGTTGATATACCAGGAAGGTTAGAATTACTTCGCTTGCTGTCCTTTCCATTAGCTCCTTTAATAAGCGATCACCACGCAAGATGTTCTTTTTTTTTTTTTTTGCCTTAAAAAATAAAGTTCAATAATTTTCAATGGAATTAAAGCGAAAAAATTGGAGCTCCTTTAATATATATCATCACATTACATGATATATGTTGGGTCAACGCATTAGAAACCCAATACTCTTATCTAGGGAGATCACCAAAGAGGAGATCAAGTTCAAACACGTTAATATACTTAGTTGAATTAACATTCAATTAAAAGTTCAAGTCAATGAATTACAGCCATTAACTACTCCATATTTATGAGATTTCTTTTGCCTAACACCCTCATATGTGCACCTTAACAAATTCCACCTTCACATGTCAGTCATTATTGTTAGGTTCACTCCCCATTAATACAGACATACTTCCGCACATACCTTATCTCAACTCAAGAATCTCCACCTTGGCCTGGCCAAATATGCATATATTGGTGAGAATCATATGAGAAAAAAAAAGGTATGTGTTACTCCAATTGAGAAAAGATGAGAGAAGTTCTCTCCACATAAAATAGCAAACGCCCAAGGCACAAGTAAACTAGAGGGTTCGCTTGTTTAAACTTGTGAAGTCATGGAATACTGTGCGACCCATTTACCATTTCGCTATCACGCCCAATTGTGGCTTGTTTGTTGTTGTTGTTGTTGCATTACGCATCCAAATGATTTTAGACACAAATTATTTC